GTGTGTGTGTGTGTGTATGTGTGCGTAAGGGGGAGGAGTGAGGGAACAGCTCAGCGACGTATGACGTCGTGACGTCTCTCATGCGTGAGACTCAAAAATGGCGGATAGCCAACAGGAGACCTGGCGTCTATACGTGCCGGTAGCCGTTTAGCACGTAGCTAGATTAGCTCAAAGCTATGTGTGTGTGTGTGTGTGTATTAGTAAAAGAGAAGGGAAAGGAACAAAACAAAATGAAATAAAACAAAAGATTAAGATCCTTCGCGCCGCGCTGGAGTACGGAAGATTGCTCTCTCAGCCAGGGGAGCAAGAACCGCAACTCTTTGTCTTAGCCGGCGGTTTTGACCTCCTGAACTGATGAGAAGCAACTTCGACCTCACTGCAGCTGTCTCGACACGAATCACAGTAGCATGGAATACACGCTACTTCTACACAACACTAGCAATTTCAGGGATCGCAAGTGTTGTTGATCATAAAGCATACACCACGTTATAAAAATGAGCAGTACTTTAAGCACACAAACGAGATAAAATAAACACAAATGAACTCTCTCTAACTCTGCCCAGACTCTATTTCGCCTTACGGTACGATGCAATCGTGGTGATTGAGGGGGGTTCTTCTGAGCTTCGATGGGCACAGGCAGCGCGGCTGCGGGAGGTGTTCTCTCGGTAGGAGAGAATCGCTGTCGTCTGGATAAGGGATTTTCGCGTCCTTATGGCCAGAGCAAACGAGGCGCTTGGTGGAGAGTGGAAGTTCTCTCTCTCTCTTTCTGAAGAAGTCTTGCTTCTTCACTTCTGCAGGAATAAAAGGGTTCGCTTCGTGGATAAGGACAAAGATAAAATAGACAGTTTGGTGAATTCGGCCAGCGAATATAAACTGTTAGACCTAGGATTTGGTTGAAAAGGGAAACAACGTTGGTGTGCTCCCTAGCTCGACGGAGGTCGAAGGGAAAAAGCATCGAGGTGGGGGTTGCAGGTAGTTTTGTAGAACAGTGGCTGAACCACTGTTCTACAAAACAGCTCAGCTGGCTCAGCCAGTAGCCGCCACGGTTGAAACCCTGGAGTGCTGTTTCTTCTTGCCTCTGTTCTGGAATACCGACTCTGGTTCGCTGGTTCGCTGCCTCGCGGCATCTCCCTTTGACTGACTCCCTGCATAGAACTGAATTTGAGTTGAGTTGAGCTGAGTGTGTTGAGCTGAGTGTGTCTTGGCTCTCGGCCAATTAGATTGCAGCGCTGCTGTCAGGTACCTTCAGGGATGCATAGTTTTTGGGGGAGCAAGATCGTCTTACCGGAGGTCCCGCCTCGGCATCCCTGCTCTCGTCCACTGAGAGCAGTGTGGCATTTCGGGGAGGAAACTCACACCCTAATGTGAATTTCTTCAAAGTTGGGGGGGGTTTAGTGCTCATCAAACTACAATCAGGATGAAACCTTTGCTTGCAAAAGGCAAGGCCCGACTCTCTCTCTTTGTTCCACAGCACATGTCGAAGCCATATAGTCAGATCCCAACATCCCCCCTTTGGCCTGAAGAGCGAGGTGCTGGCCACGGTCTTTAGGGCAAACCAAGGACTGACGTGGGCTTCCATGTGGTGTCATACAGTCCATGTAGTTCTGAGAGCACAAAAGGTTAAACAGTCCATGTAGTTGTGGGAAGAAAGGGATGGTTTAATAGTCGGTGTTCATTGTTCATAGTTCCTAGAGGCTCAAGATGTCTGGACAGACACTAAGGCGGCATCTGGGCAGATGACTAACTAAACTGCATTAAACATATACACAAATCATAGGTAAGCAAGGCATTATTTCTAATACACTCAATTGCTACATCATGATCTTGTGATAACGTCTGAACTGTAGCATAGTATGTGAAAAACAAAAACGAAATGAAAGCAGAGAAATGAAAACAAACAAAACAAAACGGAAAGGTGGTTAGGTAGGTTAGTGTGATGGTTGTGTCATGGTCTACCTAACTCTAGATTTGGATTTACCTATCACCCCCCTGGATCTGCTGGGATGGCCCAACGGACCGGTTCCTGTCCCCTAGAGGTGTGTACCAAAAAACCCTTTTTCATTTTACAGTTTGGTTGTACATAATGGCGAGCTCGCAGCTCTTCCGATTCGAGCAGCGGTAGTTGTCGGGACCCTTTTCGCGTGGGTTTCAACTTCGGCTGTCGAATGGTTGGAAGGGCTGCATCTCGTGCTTGCTGGGTGGTCAAATCTGCTCTACTATTATTCACCGCGCAAGGTTGTGAACTTGGGGGCCAATTGTTCTGGGGTACCCAGGGTGTCCCCTGTTCAGTTGCAGGCTGGTTGACTGCAAGAGAGAGGTTAGAGTGTCATGTGTCTTTGTTCTGAGCATTTTTCAGCGAACAAAGGGAAGACTTCTGGTTTGAGACATGGTTTTGGGTGGCAGATTTTGGCGGTTGTAAGCATGCAGGCAGATTGGGTGGACTAGAGTCAGGAGCAGGCTCTGGGTGGGGCATTGGCATCGGTTGTCTATGTTCCTGGGTGACGGCGACTTGTCCGTCTGAAACTGGCCCACGGCTGGCAAGGTTTAGTGGCATCGGCTCGTCCACCGGTGTCCGGAGTGTGGTAAAGTGCTTTACCGCCTCCGTCACACGTTGGTGTCTAAGACTCTTGATCTCTGGGTCTAAACTTGCTCTTACGGAGTGGGTTTGGGACTTAAGATTTCGTTTGAACCTAATTCTCTTTTTAGGGTGAAATGTCTTCTGATGCCATGACTCTTGATTTTCTGGATCAAAGCGTTCTATGTCGTTCGCAAGAGACTCAAGCTGACGGATACGCAGACCCTGCACGCGGAGAGGGCCTGGATCATCAGAGTGGTCTGGATTAGCATAGTCGTTTAAGACGACATAGCGGTGAGGACGACTAACCTCTCGACAGGTGGGGGAGGGGCTCTGTTTCAGGTGCATGCATGGACTACACGGGACGTTTTGTTCACCTGTGGATGTGGGTTTGGAACCACTAATGCCACTCTGGGCCTGGGAGTAGCCCCGCATCCTCCTGTCAAAATGCAAAGTGGGGAGTGAGACACCTGGATCAAGCACACAAGCAGACTGGGGTGCTCGGTCGCTGTCCCTGGTGGTGTGATGAAGAACTACACCACTAGACGCTGCTAAGCTCCAAGCAGTGGTCTTCAAGGTGACTGTAGTGGCTTGTCCACTCAGTCGAGCCTCATCAAGCCTTTGGGGCGGGGCTTGTCTGACTATGTCAGGGAGGAGGCCTATCATGGGGTCGGGGATTGCGACATCAATACTTACCTGACCCCCCTGAGGTTCTTCATGCCAGGTCTTAGTGCTTCTCTGAGCAGCCTGGAGTTGTACACTCAGGGTGTTACTCTCTAAAACTTTAGAGGCTTTCGCTTTGGGGACCATGATGAGCTTAATAGCTCTTCTGCAGCTGGTCCAGCTCTGTTCGAGCGACCCGGGCTTCTTGTGGCAGGGCAGTTGTGTCCTGCTGCACAACATGGTAGCGAATGAGGGGACCAGCAACTGCATCTTGTAATGCAGGGTTGTCCGACTCATGTTGAGCTTCATGCTCCTATCCTGGGTTTCTGGTTGCACGTTTTACTTTTAGTAAGTGGCGACACCCAGTGGTGTTATTTACTTAATGTGAGCAAGGGACTGTTACGGTTATTAACGGGTGCACAGTGAACTGCCTAGTCTGTGACTTACAAGTTCGACTGCTATATGCTAACTGCTGTTTTGAGGTATACAGTGAAATGCTTAGTTCTGTGACTTACAATTTCTACTGCTCTACTGCTTTGCAATTGGAATGCTACTGAAGTGGGCTTAGCACTTCTGGCTGGTGACAGCTGTGTGTTGGATTTATGAGGACTCAAAGAAAACAAAATGAGTTTGTGTTACAATTAAATGATAAAATTTACCACAACAGCTGTGTGTTTGTTTAGGAAATTAAACGAGTATTTTAACTTACAAATTCAAAAGGAACGGAAAAAAGGAAAAATTTAATTTTGAAAAAATTAATTTTAGAAAATAAAATTTTGGAAAATTTAAATTATTCAAAAATTATCAAAGTCAATTCTGGACTAATGTACATACACTGTGATAAAGCTGGTATAACGTGGCCTCACACGGGGCACCATTATGTTGGGAATAACATAGCCTCAAAAAGGGGGCACCATTATGTTGGGAATAACATAGCCTCAAAAAGGGGGCACCATTATGTTGGGAACGTAAAGGAGCGTGTTTGGGTTATCAGTATCTAAGAAACTAAATTCTTGACATCAATAGAATTATTAATGTCAGTAACAATTATTAATGATTATTAATAATAACGGGGCACCACCCTGCGAACAGCGACCAATAACCAAACGATAAAACTAAGTCTCATAATTAGTGTTCACTCACAATATCAACAGTCTGAATACTATTACACATTCAGAGTAAAAGTGAAGGTTTAAGTTCGAGCACAGACCACATATACAGCTATTATCACAATACACAAAGGAATCACAGACAGCTACTCTTTAAAATATAACAGTTTATTACGTTCTAATACTAATGATCTAGTCAACTAATATCTAAACTAACAACTATACATTCATGAGCACGCTATCTAAAATCAACAGACGATTGAAAAGAGGGGGGGGAAGTGTGTGTGCGTGTGTGTATGTGTGCGTAAGGGGGAGGAGCTAGGGAACAGCTCAGCGACGTATGACGTAGTTGGGACGTAGTGACGTCTCTCATGCGTGAGACTCAAAAATGGTGGATAGCCAACAGGAGACTGGCGTCTATACGTGCCGATAGCCGTTTAGCACGTAGCTAGATTAGCTCAAAGCTGTGTGTGTGTGTGTGTGTGTGTGTGTGTGTGTGTGTGTGCGTGCGTGGATTAGTAAAAGAGAAGGGAAAGGAACAAAACAAAATGAAATAAAACAAAAGATTAAGATCCTTCGCGCTGCGCTGGAGTACGGAAGATTGCTCTCTCAGCCAGGGGAGCAAGAACCGCGACTCTGTCTCAGCCGGCGGTTTTGACCTCCTGAACTGATGAGAAGCAACTTCGACCTCACTGCGGCTGTCTCGACACGAATCACAGTAGCATGGAATACACGCTACTTCTACACAACACTAGCAATTTCAGGGATCGCCAGTGTCGGTGATCATAAAGCATACACCACGTTATAAAAATGAACAGTACTTTAAGCACACAAACGAGATAAAATAAACACAAATGAACTCTCTCTAACTCTGCCCAGAATCTATTTCGCCTTACGGTACGATGCAATCGTGGTGATTGAGGGGGGGTTCTTCTGAGCTTCGATGGGCACAGGCAGCGCGGCTGCGGGCCGCGGGAGGTGTTCTCTCGGTAGGAGAGAATCGCTGTCGTCTGGATAAGGGATTTTCGCGTCCTTATGGCCAGAGCAAACGAGGCGCTTGGTGGAGAGTGGACGTTCTCTCTCTCTCTTTCTGAAGAAGTCTTGCTTCTTCACTTCTGCAGGAATAAAAGGGTTCGCTTCGTGGATAAGAACAAAGATAAAATAGACAGTTTGGTGAATTCGGCCAGCGAATTTAAACTGTTAGACCTGGGATTTGGTTGAAAAGGGAAACAATGTTGGTGTGCTCCCTAGCTCGATGGAGGTCGAAGGGAAAAAGCATTGAGGTGGGGGTTGCAGGTAGTTTTGTAGAACAGTGGCTGAACCACAGGGGTCCTAGGGTGTCTTGGGTCTCGGCCAATTAGATTGCAGCGCTGCTTTCAGGTACCTTCAGGAATGCATAGTTTTTGGGGGAGCAAGATCGTCTTACCGGAGGTCCCGCCTCGGCATCCCTGCTCTCGTCCAGTGAGAGCAGTGTGGCATTTCGGGGAGGAAACTCACACCCTAATGTGAATTTCTTCAAAGTTGGGGGGGGTTTGGTGCTCATCAAACTACAATCACGATGAAACCTTTGCTTGCAAAAGGCAAGGCCTGACTCTCTCTCTTTGTTCCACAGCACATGTCGAAGCCATATAATGAGATCCCAACATAACCATCAAACTAGAACACTGCACCAATACTACTCATCTGTGTGGTGGATGGACATATGATTTATTGAGCAGATCAAAACTACCTGGCAACAAATAACTTCAGCCACATTCTCTTCCGACTCACCCGTGTGAACTTGGAGCACATCTCCTCTGCTTCTTTGATGAGGCCAGCCTTCAGCATGTACTTGGCACACTTGGAGTTAATGAAGCGGTCAGCAGTGTCCAGGGCCTGAGCTTCATCCATCCACCGAGCTGCTTCCTTTATGTTGCCCGTGTGCTGCAAGGACAAAACACAGGGACAGTGTGAATGCTCATGATACACAACAGATCTCAGAGTCCAGTTCCATCAAAGTCAAGAACCGTATACATATGTGCAGAGTTTCTACTCCACCTTGTAGATCTTGGCCTTGATGAGGAAGAGCTCGATGAGCGTGGGCGTGCTGTCGATGGCGGTGTTGATGTACTCCAGAGCGAGGCCCGGCTGGTCTATGAAGTCAAAGTGCTGTGCTAGGAAATACTGGACCCACAACAGGGTGGTAGGGGGCTCCTCCTTCCCATCATCTGCACACACGTTTTACAACAGTCACAGTGTGCAATTCAGCCTCCACATGTATGAGAAATCCAAATCAAACAAACACATTGAGGCCAGAGAAAGGCCACACTCACCATTTTCACTAAATATTCGACAGGCCTTCAAACAGGTTTCATAGCCAACTACTAATTCTTCAATGATTGCAACCTGCATAGGAAGAAAACAAGTCAAGAACACATATACATATATATACACACACATACATACACAGGTTATTTTAAATGTCTCCATGTGTACCTTTTCTCTGTCGGTGTAGAGGGATTTGAGAGTGGTGAAGACGGGGGGGCAGCCTTTACTGAAGTTCATCCTAAGGTAGCTGTCCAGACATTCACCAAACTTCTCCCCTGCCCAGCACAACACACAGTAGAGGTACAGTAACGTGAGACTTGTATTGAGAAAGATGACAGTAGTGTACATGGTTTGATCCCACACCTTTTTAACCTGTGATTAGACTCAGTGAGCATAGAACACGTATGGTAATATTTGGGTTTGGAACATAAAATGAGCCAACTCTGCACACCGGTAGGTGGACAGGTACTGAGGTTTGAAATAGCATGGAAGCTGGAGGGATGAACTGACATTTTCATTCATGCGCTTTTCTCCAGATTCTGCTGGATCCCGGGGAGCCAGATTTCGCAAAAGAGTTTTTTGTGTATTTTATTCAGTACTTTTGGTCAGATAGATCTTGTTTTGGCATTCGTTAATCCCACATTATATTGTTGCAGTTCATTGTTAGCTGAAACTTAGTTGAATTATTAAGTAATAAATACTTGTATTGAGGAGGGAACAGCCTCTTACTGTCATGGTGTGCTTCTACTCCCCTAGATAGAGGCACAGCAAGGTTTAGAATCCAAACTTTCTTTAGGTTTAGGCACAAATTCTACTTGGCTAGGTTTCAGAGAAGATGATGGGTTGGGTTAAAAAAGTAGTTCATCCTGGAACTAATCTCAGGGGGAGTGTTGTCTAGTAAAGTGGGCGTATCGTGTTGCCTGTGAGACTGCTGATGGAATAGCTCGCCTCTAACAGGCTAGAGAGTTTGTGTCACAATATGGATATTATATTCCGAATCATCGTGGGCATTTGCTCACTAAGCATGACATACAGTAGATTGAGATTGAGACGGACAGCATGGTGGTGCTGCAGGCTGTACTGTGTTTACCTGTGAGGAAATTAAGAGGCAGTCTTCGGAGAACCAGGCCTTTAGGAAACTTCACCCAGGAGTCCTCATAAATCTTCTGACGATCCTCTACACTTCCTGGAAAAACACACACACACTGTAAGGAGAAGTACTATCCAACCACAGCTGATTTACAGCAACAGACATCTGAGGCTCCAAAGACTCATTGGACACACATCAGGGCTTCCCCCCGAACAGTCAATCATTCAAATCATCAGCCCAATCTCATTTTATAAGTCAAATCACTACATTTCTTTGTATTTTCTTATATTGATGTTTAACCCGTACAGAGAAAAAGGTACACATTAGCACATGATATCCATCCTCTATCCATCACACACTCTGCCTTTCTGTCACGGCCAAGAATGCTCCCCAAACCTTCTTAAAGACAGCAGTCAGCCTCTCATATCGTCACTCATTCATTTAAAGTCATGACATTGATTGGTTTCCAGTGTCTTAAAGCAATTCTACTCCCTGTTATTGTGGCCAACCAAAGTGATAGTCTCGGATGTTTAGTCAGTGTATTGGGCTCAGGCATTAAACCAAGTATACACATGAATCAGTGGTACTTTCACAGTCTTAATGGATACGCCCTTAACTGGGTATACTCTGAGATCATTTTGGTTCTGGTATAGCCCTCTTCAATAGCTACAGTAGCAATAGTCAATCCACCATATCGCATGGACTGCACCAGTGTGGGCCTGAGGGTAGTGTTCACCTGGCTTTAAGGCCTTTTCCAGGCCCTGGTAGTAGGCCCAGTTCTCAGGGTTCCTCTCCTGGAGACTTCTGTAGACCTCAGAAGCCTCATCAGGCCTCTCCAGATTCAGCAGAAGCTCTCCTACACACACACACACAAACACACTTTCAACATTAACTAAGCACAATGGTTTCATTACACAAGTTATTCAGTCTAAAATATCAAGCGGTACTGAAATATAAAAAGTGCTCCTTAGCCAACCTCAATTGTGTTAGCTCAGTCACACGTTCTGTCCAGAGAGAGCTGGAGAACCGACATAACCTTTGTAGCTCCTCTGCATTAACACAGCAACAAAGTGACGCCGTCGCCATCAACCCACCTCTCGTTTCTTCCACGGCCAGTTTGTCGCAGATCTGTTTCTCATAGTTGTTGAGGTGCTCGAGGGCCTCCTTGTGCAGGCCGGCCTCCCTCAGGACCTGGTTCTGATACAGCAGCAGTTCACTGTACTCGTAGTCCACCTTGTCTGGAGACGTCTGGACACACACACACACACACACACACACACACACACACACACACACACAGTTATTGTGTTCCAATGTTGGATTCTGTTTTTCGTGGGCACTACAGAGAGGATCATTTCTACACTTGAGAAGTTGAACCAGGACTCGGAGCCTTGTCTATACGTATACAGATAGTTTTTGAAGATGGACATTTTCCCCCTTCGGAAAGAAGTTTGGGTCCTGCTGAACAGCTGATTCTACGTCACAGCGTTCAAAGGTTCTCTCTGCCAAAGCTCTCCAACATGTCTCTCTTTGCCGACGAGAGACGGGCGCACAGGAGGACAAGAAATGTTACGAACTCATCTGTTACATCCATGTCACTACGTATTTATGAAATATGGATGGAATATGCACAAACATTAAATGGCATTTGACAACATAACGGGACGCACAACAGAAGTGATCCTGGGCCAGTCACAAGCACATTGTATAAATAAATACTCTGTAATCCATCCAATCACACATCAGGATGTTATATTACCAATTATTAAATTACCAACCAAAACACTTGATATCGATATTGTAAGATAGTGTAGGAAATGACATCACTTTGCTGTAATGCAGCCTGTAAAACCAGGAAAAGACAACACTGATGCCTTTATTACTAATCTGAGACGATATGTAGCCTCCGTATAGTATCGATATATTGCCCTGTCCTAATTCAGAGACAAATAACTGGTTTATTAAAAATGGCGTATGCAAAAGTAGCCGACAGCAGAAAAAGCATGTCGTAACATTTTACTTCAACTTGTCGTTCAAAGAATTCAAACCTACTATTTCTATACCACCACTACTATAGTACTACTACGATAAAGCTGTTTTAGACTTATGTCTTCAGCTCATGATGTGCTTATGAATCACTTTGAGTGCGATACAGTTTGTGCAGACTGTAATAGAGTCAAAGCTGTGGCGGGAATGAATGGGAAACACTGCATGAGTCATAGAAAACAACAACCTACATAGTTCCTCTTCTGAGCTGGTTTCAACCCAATTTAGAAAATGTCAAGAAATGCTTGTCACCATTCACTACCATAAAGCCATTATTAGGAGTTGGTTCATTCAACAGTAGGTGGCACCAAGTCTCCAGTCACAAAACCCAGAGAGGAAGAAGAAGAAGGTGACCCTGAAGCACAAGTTTCCATGGACATTGAAGTCTACAATTTCACGGACGTCATGATTTCCATTGAACTTTATCGCATTTCACTCCTTTTTTCCACCTCAGCCGGCATAAACCTTCTTGCCATATTTCCCTATTCATTCCTGATATACGTTTTGTTGTGTGTTGACTAAAGAGAGTATGATTTTTGACTCAAATAAATCACACAGTATCTTTGCCTGCTCATATCCTGGAGCTCTCTATAACAATAAGTCAAATTACTGAGGACCACGGCGAATATCTCCTTTCCCCCGCCTCAACCCCTATAATGTTAACGTAGTGTTGTTAGAGTGGGTCTATTAAACACGTAGAACGTTCAGAAACGTGTATGGTTCTATTGAGTCGTCTATAGCTCTGGCCTACCTGTTGCGTTTTGCGGAACTCCTCAACGATCTTGGCGGCCATCTCAAAGTCCTCCAACAGGTGATATGCTACAGCGTATCCAATCCACGAGGCCCGCTGGGCCGGACGGAGCTGCAGCAGCTGGTACCGGGTCTCCTGTCATAGCACAGCAAAGTGAAGGCAAGAAAATGTAGGTTTTATAATCCCGTCCAACATTGACATCTTCATTTCCCCCCTCATGCAGGACCGTGGGTGACAGTATGACCCTGCACAACCTCCCGCCTCCAACCCCCTTCATCCATTCAGGCGTTTCATCTCAACAGTTTCTATTTCCTACACATGTCCTCCTCCCTCTGCCACACTCACCCTGTATCCCTCCAGGTCCCTCATCTGGATCTGCAGCAGGGAGAGGTCTCTCAGGATCTGCAGGTTGTCCTTGTCCCACTTCAGAGCGTTGCGGTAACATTTGATGGCCTCGTCGTACTTTTTATCAGAGCGCTGCAGCAGGCCGTACACATGCCAGCCTGGAGGAGCGAGTTCAGGAAATAAAAACACACACACACACACACACACACACACACACTATGCAGGTTTTCACATGTGCTTGAAAATGTAAACACACACAAACTAAATCAAATGTCTGGAAGAATTCACAGAGTGTTTTACAGAAGCAGAAATGACGTTAAAGAGCAAGTACAAGGTCTTTCGGGGCGAATGCAGCTGCTGTGGTGCTTAACTGAATTTGAATGAAACCCGGCTGTCCTGAGGGGCTGATGTAAGGATACAGACGTGGCTCTTGAGGTCGTTGCGAAGGCCTCGTCTCACCAGCTCATAGGCGTCCTCCTTCTTGCCCACACAGTTGAGGGTTAAACCCTTCATGGCCAGCGTCTCTGGAGCACAAAGCAGGGGTGGGAGGGAGAGGGGTGAGACATCCGGGGACATGACTTGTCAAGAGTGACACTAGCCGTGTTCCGTTAAATTGAAGAAGCGAATTATTAAAGCGAATTTTAGGCGAACTTTTGAAATGCTGTAAAAACAGGAAATGCAAATCAGGTGCATCAGCACGGTTTGGTCAGTAGTTGGCTGCCTTAGGCTATGCTTTACACATGGCCGTAATCTGCCAGTAAACAGAGTGGAAGAAGTAGGTTTTTGAACCGGAAACAATCAGTCATAAGAGGTAAATGTTCACTACGTCAGAATATATTCGGCGTTTCCATAATCCATTTAATCCATCGAGTCTTTTTCCACAAATGGAAAAAAAACACCTCAAGTAAGCATAACAACTTTTTTTTTGTATGAAAAATGTCAATGGGAACACAGCTACTGACTACACAAAGGAATGTTTACAGGTTTATTAACATCGCGGTTTACTTTACAGTATTTAAGAAGCTAGCTTGCCAGATAAATGGAACAGGCGTGAGTAATAAAGTATGAGGCACATAGTGAAGTCCCACCATCCTGGAAGGAGGCTGTAATAACAGTGATTCCTAAGGGAAAGAACAGTGATACCTGCTCTGGTTACAGAACTATATCAATTCTTAATATAGACTATAAATTATATACCTCGATTATTGCAAAAATGTATGAGCACTTTATGAATGATATTATAGATGAAGACCAGACGGGCTTCATCAAGGGGCGCCAAACCCAAGATAACATAAGGAGAACCCTACATATAATTGAACATATTAACCATAAAAATATCAATGCAGCCCTAATAAGTCTTGACACAGAAAAGGCATTTGACAGTGTAAACTGGACATTTCTGTATCAGGTACTTGAGAAATTTTGACTAAATGAAAAAGCTATTCAATGTGTTAAAACACTTTACCAAAACCCAAAAGCAAGGATAAAAATAAATGGCAGTCTGACTGATAGTATTGCATTAGAACGGTCTACCAGGCAGGGATGTTGTCTTTCACCGACTCTATTTGCAATTTTTACAGAACCTCTGGCACAAGCAATTAGGCAGAATAAAGACCTTAAAGGGATAAAGGTCGGAAACGAAGAACATGTCATTGGCCTTTTTGCAGATTACGTGATCTGCTATTTAGAGGACCCTGACACATGCCTCCCTATATTAATCAACCAACTTGAGACGTTTGGCTCTTACTCTGGATATAAATTGAACTTGTCAAAAACAGAGATTTTAACACTGAACTACAAACCAACCGAAACTATACAACGAACACTTAACTTAAATTGGAGTTCTAAAAGAATGACATATCTTGGGGTTACTATAACAAAAAGTATTGATGACCTATATAAAGCCAACTATAATAAAGTGGATCAGGACATTAGAAATGATTTGGAGGTGGGCTGTTCTTCCACTAGATTTCAGTTCACGGATAGACACTATAAAAATGAGCATACTTCCAAGACTCCTCTATCTCTTTCAGTCACTACCAATCGAGATCCCTGAAAAACAATTTCGAACCTGGGATAAAGTTATCTCAAGGTTTATATGGAAAGGTCAAAGGCCAAGAGTTAAATACGAAACATTACAGATTGGAAAAGATAAAGGGGGCATGTCATTACCAAATCTTAGGGTATATTTTCATGCAGCTCAAATTAGACCAGTAATTTATTGGTGTACCAATGACTATGAAGCTAAATGGAAAAACCTAGAACGATATATAGAAGGAAGGGAAATTCAAAGCCTTATCGGAGACAGAAATATAGCAAAGGATTTTCTTGACCAGATGGATGTTGTCACCCGATTTACATTAGAGATGTGGTTTAAACTGATAAGAAAATACAGATTAGAAGAAGAGCTCAGGCTTCTACGATGGATAGCCTATGATAGACATTTTATCCCGGGTACTCTCGATCTGAGGTTCAAACAATGGATTTCAGGAATAACAGCAATATGCACAGTCATTAAAGACGGGAGCGTTGTGAGTTTCCAGGAGCTGAAAGACAAATACTCACTAAATAACCAGGACCACTTCAGATATCTGCAATTAAGGGACTTTTTCGACAGAGAAATAAAGCACAAAATTAACTTGGATAAAAATGGAATAATTAGAACCATAATAGGAGTTTACAAGTATAGAATCATATTGACTATATATCAACATCTGACGGAAAAAATTAGAAAATACAACTTTTTATGTAAAACTGAAATGGGAACAAGAACTTGGTGTGAATATTACAGAGGATGAATGGTTGAATATCTGGAGGACACAACAGTCTTCAACATCCTCGTGTATTTGGAGAGAACATTGTTGGAAGAATGTAATCAGATTCTTTATTAATCCCCAAATTACAAATAAATGTCTGTCTATTGTCCAGCCATGTTGGAGGAAATGTGGGGCAGTAAATGTAAACCACTCCCATGTATTTTGGCTATGTCCGGAAATTGTACAGTTTTGGGGAAATGTCCATATGGTTATAGTCCAATTCTGGGCTATGATATACCAAAGTCATGTATGTTTCTCTACTTGGGTAATCTGACAGCAGACACTGTGTTAAGAGAAGACAGGTTTTACTGAAGATCTTGCTAGCAGCTTGTAAGAAGGCTATCACGAAGAGATGGCACAAGGCAGAACCACCATCACAAGATGGATGGCTGAAAATTGTGACTGAAATGTATGATATGGAACTATTAACTCATAGAATAAGAGCTCAAGTGGAGCGATGTCGTGAGAAGTGGGAGAAATGGACGATGTTTACATGTCAACGATAACACAACCTGAATATTTCACAGGAGTTATCATACTTTTGAAGAGACGGAGCAATCCAGATCCCCTTTTTTTTTTTTTTTTTTTTAAATTTATTTTTATGTTTTTGTATATGTGTTGTCTGTCTGTCTGTCTGGTGAAAAGCCGAAAAAATAAAGTGTGAAAAAAAGTATGAGGCACTGTTGAGAAAACAATACAACCGCAGAACAGGTACACTATTAGAAATCCTGCTACTTAACCGCTAAAAACTCCCAATAGAACACAGCATAACTTACATTACAATGATCAGTATCACTGCACACATCAGCTGATAAGTAACAACACACTGAAACAGCCATGCTATTACAGTTTATCCATCAGAGAGGACTGAGAAATGATCCACTCAGCACATATAAATATTGGTCAAAATTCTTTAAAAAAGCTAAATTAAGGGATGTCAGTTTGTTATGTTACAGAAATATCAATATGTACTTGTATCTGCCTAAAACAATCTACAATCAAACTCTAAAAAGACCGCTGTATCAATGTTTTGCTTTATTGTACCAATTTGTTTGCCATCAATGGTCAACGTTAAATGGACATGTACTTGTATTGTCTCTCTCAAGTCTTCTGACAGCTCAGAGCGCTTTAACACTATATGTCAACATTATCACACACACATCCACACACCGATGGCAGAGGCTGCCATACAAGGTGCCACCTGCTCAGCAGTTCTAGTCACTCACACACCGACAGCACAGGTCCTTTGACATGAAGGAGCCGGGAATCGAACCGCTAATATTCAGAGCAGAGGTAGACCTGTTCTACCTCTGACCCACAGCTGACGCATGTGTACACGTACACACACACACACACACACACACACACACACACACACACACACACACTTTTGTTCTTACTTTAAGTTGCTAGGACACCTATTGTTTTTTGATGACTGGCTTTTTCACCTCAATCCACATTTATTTAAATGTAGTGCAACTGTCAAGAGGAGAAGGGAGGTTGTGTGAACGTGCAGAAACAGAAATTACACAGTGATCCATTCCACTGTACGTCATTAGTCTGTGTCTTACCTCCATGTTCAGCAAACTTCGGGTTGTTCAGGATCTGCTTGCAGAACTTCAGGCCGTTTCTGTACTGCTTGTGTTCGTAGCATCTCTGCAACAGACAGACAGAGCAAACTTCACACCGGGCGTCTGAGGGACAACAGACCGCAACGCTCTGCTGCACTGATCCTCAAGACAGTCGGCTTCGAGTGCACAAATACATGTACAGTGTTGTAAGTGCTGAATGCAAACCACTGTGTTCCAGAAAACCAGCGGAAATAGTCCAGTCAGCGGGACTGTTGTAGCGATGAATGAACAGCAATTGAGAGAACTATGTTGATTAAAAACGTTGACACTGTAGACGAATATGTTTTAAAAAACGTTAAACTAACCCCTCAACTACCCTCCTAACTTAACGCTAAACTGTGTATTGCTGTACATGCCGAGCAGCTCTGTTACTGTTGTACTTTACTTGTGTTTTAAGGCCAATGGCAGAGCTACGACACCACACGACTGGTTGTTAGCCAAGTAATTGCTGTTTCCTTAGTTTCATTGTTACAACCACTCGTTAATAACAGAGACGTGAACAGCACAATGCGTTTGGTGTACTGAAATATTTGGGTTAATTCAGTAGCGACTTCCTAGCTACTTGCTCTGACTGCTACAACTGACGGCTACTTGGCAAACTAGCATTAGCCAGCAAGCTAACGCTTTCTCAGGCATTTAGCCTACCAATATTCTCTTGAAGAGAGCATTCTCCTTCGGCGGTAGAGTGATTGTGGGCATTGTGCTGGCTTCCTACGCCTCTGTCGAGTCACATCAATAGTATCCTCTTTGGGTTCAGATATCCTGGGCTGTGTCAGTCTCCAACGTCTCACGTGTTGAAGACGAGGCCCCCTTCCGAGCAAAATGGCCGATGTGCTTCTCCTCCGGGTCAGACTGCTCTGAGTCTGCGTGTCAAATACGGACAAGCGGGGCTGTATGTGGCTGTGTGTCACTTAATGGCCTTTGGACAAGAATAACATGTTTAACTTTACATTTAATCACGTGTATCTGGTTATATTAAAAAATAAAACATGTCCTATGGTAGCAGGTTGAATGTGGCAGTAGTAGCCTACTGTGTCCAGTGCACTGTGGATGTATCGAAAGTTGCAAACCAAATTCCAAAACTGGGTAACGTCAATCGAGATGCAATCGCTTTACAATAGTAAAATCCAGACATTTGTTGAGTTTAAAATTTCAAATGCTATTAGTTTGTTAGTTTTTCTCATAAGTGTCCTAGCGATTTATCGGTGATCAGCTACTCAAGTCTTCCAGGACGTTTAATCGATTGCGGAGTGGCAGATCGCATGAAGGAAGCTGCTCTGAAGCTAAAATGACTTTCAACAGGATATTCTCTGGAGCTGCTTTCGTCGGCAAAAGTAAGATTAGGACATAATCGTAATTCTTTCACTGATATGATTTTGAATAACGTTTTTTTGTCTCGCTGTTCACAGCGTGAACGTTGTGACGTATGTGTATGTTGAAGCCTGACCTTAGCTTAGCTTCATGTAAGCACTGCAGTCACACACAGGCGGGTTTCTCCCCCATTAAGTTACGCATTATAAGAGTGTTTTTTAGCTTAACGTTAGTGATTTCAAAATTGTTTACCCAGCTGTTGCGAATGTATTATTATTATGTTTGGTCTAGTTAACAGGAATGATTGTAATCCAATCTGTATCCACGTTATAACTTTCGCTCATGTATGAAGAGGTATTCACGCCAAACTTCTATCAGGATTTGTGCGATTTCTTTCCTCTCTCTCCTGCTTCTTGTAAAAACAAATTCAAATACATGCTGTCAAGTAATTACTTCTATGTTTGCAATGGTCCATTCCTGTAACCATGGTATTGATGCGAACCTTCATGTCTGTTTCAAGTCCAGTCAGTGTGCTTGTTTATGATGTTGTGCTGTTTTCTCTTTTCTTGCAGTTGGATCCAGGTCTGTATTCACAAGCTCCAAGCCTGACAGTGGTAACCCCAACTGGTTGAGAGTGGGCCTTGCCTTTGGAACATCTGCTCTCCTTTGGGGCCTGGTAAATGAACACATCATATTATCATCTCTAAAAATGGATCATTTGTTGTTGTCAGAGTTCTGTGTTTAATTCACACAAGGGGTTCTTTCAGCCCATTGAGTTCATGTCTGTCCCATTGAAAGGAGACCAAACTGACCTATTCAGAAATGTATAGGCCTGCATGTCTTTTGGCAAGATGAAATACTTTTATTTCTGAATCATGCAGCAGATTGTATCAGGTCAACTATTCAGCATTTATTGTACCTCAAAGGGACAGGAGAGGGCAGCAATGTTTTATTTTTAAAAAAAATAAAAAACGTATGTCACATTTTGGATTTTCAGTGAAGCGTAGGCTCAGGACAAAAAAAACAGTTTGCTTATTTCTAAGCAGAACAATGAAATATTTCCTCATGGCATATGGTGTGATATTCTCATCGTAAAAGGAGCATTCCTTGATTTGATTAATGTAGTTTAAAAGAGAAGTCCTATAGTGAAGATTGGTTTTCTTATATTGTTAAGATTTCCTTTTATTTAATTCCAGATGGCGATAGATTATGTAATGTAGTTGAATATGAAGAGTGTTCTAATATAACCACTTGGTGCCATTAAACGACTTGTGGTGTCTGTCTTCCACCCGCAGCTCTTCAAGCAGCACAGTGCGGATGTACACGAGTACAAAGTGAGGAATGGCCTGGAGTAACCCAGCACGCTGGTATGTGAGTGTTTAGTTTGTTTAGATGTTACTATAATCAACGTACAGTATACCATTATGCCTATATATGATGTGATGCCATATAGCGTTATTGGTATTCTGCCATCCAGTGTGAAGATGTATATTCTATAAATAGATGAACACATTTAAACATGATACTCTTGTCATTTCTTGTCCTGTTTAGGGGTCGTCAGGTCCTGTCTATGGGATGCACCTGTTTGTCTGCTTCTTTCTGTTTCCACTGCTCTAAATTCTGTGTAAAATAAAAAAATCGAACATGTGAAATATACGTGAGTCATGTTCATTTTGTCCGCATACATTCACAGTTGCTGTGGTTGTTTTATTAATAATATACATAATATGTTTTGTTGGACAGGACCTCATTCTTTGTACGTGGAGTTATTCAAATTACAATGTTGACGATTTGACAGAAGTCATGATTTTCTTTTTTTTTTTAAGAGTCTGGAACTGTTGTCAGGGCAACTGCAGATTGATTGACAGCTAGCTGGCAATCGTACTTTATTACTTATGTTTGCCAGAGATCGGGAGTACATTCCAGCATGCACACACAGATGACTGCGGTCAAGGTCTCCAAACAGATCACGGCTCAGTTAGCAACTGCATTTAGCTCAACTCAAGTTAGCTACATCGTGATACATGACCAACATATTATAGCTGGCAAGACTGAAATTAGAACCAAATCAACTGTTTCATGGCTCCGATTATAACTGGCTGGACTGATTTAGTTAATTTATGAACATGGTAACAAGTACCGCTCTAAAGGCCCAGATTTATAGAGGCATGTTCAAATTTGAGGATTAGCACCAGCTTCTGACAATAACAGGAAACATTATCGAGAGAGCTGGCTCCTGAATATTATGAAGTAGCATTACCGGTTAATGTTTGGTTAGGTATTGATAACAAAGCTGCTCAGTTACGATCAAATACATACTACCGGCTATGTGAGTTAAGCGGCGATGAAAAATAGTGCCAAACAAGACCGACTGTTGCTCATCCATACTGGGCTGCCTCGCTTTAATTTCTAATGTCACTTCTGAAGGCTTTTTGGAAGCGAAGCAGCAATCAGCAGCGGGGGGGGGGCCTGTTCAGATTGTTCCTTGATACTGAAGGAGCAGTGATTCAAGGATCATTTGTTATCATTATGCAACACAGGGATGCAGTTGTATCCCATTTGTAACACAACAAACACATGACAAACATAACTAAGCAAACACAGCAGTGCATTCCTGCGCATGTTGGGGAATTTGCATCAGGAGGAATGTCAACAGCAACAAAAACAGATAATATGGCCGATATCTCCACATAATTCAAAATGAAGGAAACATCGTCCATCAACTTTCAACATGTTTGAGCACCAAGCATCATGATGTAAACACGAAGTCCACCAGGAGTCCTGCTCTCTGTCCTGCTGTCCACCCACCAAGTGCTGCTTGATCCAGGATGCCATGATGGAGTCACCGACCTCCCGTCACAGGGTTCTCCTGAAGTCTTATTTCATACCATCTTATTTTCTTTGCGCCGCGTTTGGTGTGAACGCACCTCAACATTAGCCACGCGACTTATAACTGGTGCTGTCACACAGCGAGCCTTTATCATCGAAACAAGAAGGCAGCCTATGAAGGCAAATCAGTGTCAAAATCCGCGAGCACAAATTAGATCCGTGTATGTAGAGGTCCCACGCGTGCAAATCAAACAGCCGTGTACGTGTATTACTTTGGCGAGCGCTTTTACATCACTCCGCGCAGAATATCTCTGCTCGTGGAAGCAAAATTTACACTATTTAATATTTAAATTTTTTGAAATTGCTAACACAGCCGTTCTCGGCTTACACAAGACAACAGGTATGGTAAGAGAGAGAGAGAGAGACAGAGACAGAGAGAGCACAATTGCCTACTATCTCCAAACTGTTCTCTTAGCAAATGACATGTGAATATTAGTGTGTGGAGTTATAAAAGGTCATACAGTAGCTAACATAGAGGACAACACTTAAGTAAAATGTGAAGAAACCACAGCAACATTATCTTGTGCATGAAAAACAGAGCCTGTAAAAGCAGAGTTGAGTACAGGAATGAGCAAGCATGAAAAAAAATGATAACAGTGTCATTTTGTGTGCGGCCTCGACCTTCTGTGCTTCTTGTGACATGACTCTTCCAGGTCAGAGGGGTGGAGCTGATGAGAGTCACCATGAGGTATGGAGGGTGATCGATGCCATGGAAAGAAACAGCAGCAGGGAGGACTGCTTTAAGTTGACACGCTTTGGTGGGAGATTTTTAAAAAGCAGTTGAGAAGTGCAGTTGTAGAGGTGGATATAGCACGAGTATAACTTTCTACACTTTGTTATGGTATTTCCCAGTATCATCTTATATATCTTAGACAGGTTTTGAGCATGTGGTGTGCGTGTGGTGTAGAGGATCAGTGGTAGTCGTGAGAGAAAGTTATTTGGACATGGTAACCCCCACATGCTGCTTTGAAGAGGATTGATGACGAATTCCATGAAATGTACACCTTCATACTGATCTATGTCAGATTGTCTTCTTGTCTTTATTTCTGGTGGTGCAACGGATCATAAAACTCATGGTTCGGATCGTATCACAGATCAGAGTCACGGATCAGATCAGAGATCAGATCCGCACAAAAGAAACAAGGGAGCAAATATAACTTTTAGATATGCCTGATCCTGTTTTTTTGCTGCCGATACTAAATGCCAATCATTATTGATCATAGATTGGCAGATACAGATCCCTCTGTTGTTTGATTGTTTTTTTTCTTTATGAAAACACACAATGGTCTTTTATTGACAAAAACAAATCTTGTCATTAGTAGTTTTAATGATGTATTATAAGCTGCTTAGAGCTAGTGTAAACAGCTCATAATTCATCTCTAATATCTATCGATGTTATTGTGAAAACATCTTCGAACGTCTATGTGTATTCAAGTTTCTCACCAGCACTACATTTTACGAGGTTACATGTGAACACATGTTAATAAAGTTATAATTTTCCTTTGGCCAATACTAATTTTCACTGAACAAAGCTTGAACGCATCATAATGTAACTGATCGGAACCTTTGTTCGTTAGCCATTAGCGGTGCTGCTAACGTTGCTAGTTCTCCTGTCAATTTAAACACGGATTGGTTGTTTACAATGTAACATCATTGAGGGTCCGTCGTCTTTTTAGCCACTTTCATATGTTGAACGTCCTCTTCCAGGGGTCCGAATGACTCCTCATACTCCTCACCTTCCTCTTTCTGTGGCATTAAGCACCCTTCATACAACAGCGCCGCACAACCACATTGCGCAACAGAAAGCAAGTGTGCCCTCCGCCTCCTCCTCGCACACGTTTTTTGACCAGACCAGCCATTCATTCATCCAGCACTTGCTGAAACGGCTACATTCATCCCCCCGCACCGTATCCCGGAGAGCAGCGATGTTTTCCTGCAGAGCGGCTTGGCAGAGGTGTGGGCCTCTGGCGCGGAGAGCAGCCTACAGGTTGCCCCGGGATGGTGAGTGTTCATCACTGGGACTATTGGCAAAACACAAAATCTGAATTTCTCGTATTATTAACCGTTGTCTTTAACGCAAGACTTGCGCTTTTAAATGTGACGTTTTCTCGCATCATCCGTCGCCTCCTGACTGAAGTGTGTGGAATAGTACACGTTGTCCTCGTGCGAATGTTTCTGCATAGCTGCATTCCCCCACCAAACTGGAGAATGGCAATGGCTGCCCATAGGATGTGAAGGTCAACTCGAGCTTTTTTTTTAATAGGTGGGGGGGCTGAAGCTGGGCTGTAACACGTTTGTGGTGTACTTTCATTTTTCTTATTTAAAGTGTGCGTCTCAAGAAATACGGGTATACTGTGAGCCCCGGTTGGAGTATTTCCGAATGACAGTTACCTCCCTTCTATCCACAGAGTGTTAAACAGAGCAGCAGACTGCAGGTAAAACCCGCAGCGCCCTTCATGTCACTTCTCGGCTTGTGTCAGTTGGCCCTTTTTTATTAAATGACATGTGACGCGTTATACGGTACCGGTGTAAAACTGGCCTCACCGTGCACACGTGTCCGAATAAACGCGGGCACGCGCCCTCTCTCTCTCTCTCTCCTCTGGGAAGTTCATGCCGTTTGAAAAGCGACCGTGAGGCATGTATATATTCGTGTGTGACCTTCACGGGCTGCGGGTGGCGTGGAAACATGGTGGCCGCTGTCTGTCACGTGATGCGCTCGTGTGACTGCAGTCTAATGTAAAGAGTGCGGCTGACGTAAACTCTCTGACGTCAGTGTCAGCAGCTTCTCTCTCCATCGCTGATAATGACCTTACATAACCACAGGTGACACGTGGAAACATTGGAAACTACTTAAGGTAGAGTGAGTGAAGATGTCGGCCTAATGATAGAACACCAGCTGAAGGGGGTGTCCTTCAGTCAGAGGATCGGTAGTTCGATACCCGCTAGTTCATGTTGATGTGTCCTTAAGCAAGACACTTTACCACTTAACAAGAGGATGGTATCATGGTCTAATCCTCCTGACATCTTGACCTGCATCCCCCTCCACCAGCCCCCCAACTCCAACCTTGCTTAGACTTTAGCCGGTAAAAATAACAGGGTGTCCTGTCAGAGCCTTGGACTCCGGATTAGTTTCTGAGAACAGGAAGAGTTTAACCCCCTCAACACTGGACATGACAAGTCCCCGTACACTGGCTATGGATAAGTACTACACACAAACCCACTTCCATACAGCCAAACTATCTACTACAACTAGTTAATGACATTGATTCCTTTCATGTAATCTAGGGTTATTGATGACAGTGTCCGCCTCATAGAGTACATTAAATATTCTTTAATCGCTATTCGGAGCATTAATACAGCAGCGAACAACCGCTATCCATCTGTGTTTTTGCACTAAGGGTCTGTGGGGCACGGCCCCCACCAGAGGGCACTGTTGTACAAGAAGTTATAGGCTTTTCTCCATTTCAGATGCAATAATGGCAAAGCTTTGTCTACTTCATAAAATGTTTGCAATTTGTCATGTTCTGAATGAAATCTCTTCTCTAGAAACACATTGCTTTGTTGTGTGTGTAACTTGTGTGTCTTTGTGCCTGATGCTGCTTGGTCGGGCAGACCCGGCCCTACTGCACTGATCATGAGTGGGGCCTGATAGCCAGGGTCCCTAAAAGCATCCCATTGGTTGATTTTAAGGGGTGCAAGGGTGTACACGTGATATTGTACTTACATTAACGTTACAATAGTCGTGATGACTCGTGTGGATTATTTAA